TTTTTGTTAGTGCATTATTTCAGCAGTTTTATAGGAAAATGAAATGTCAAGAGTCAGCAGTTACTCTTACGGGTGATAATGGGTTTTAATTTTGGTTTATGGCTATTAATAGGATTGCCTATAATTAAGTTTATATCAGTTTTAGAAGGGCAGACTACAACCTATAAATAAATCATTGTATTGCTTGTAAGGATGACACAAAATCGAGAATAAAGCCTCTCTTCAGAAATTATTTTTTTCTCCACAAGTCCATAGTTTTGCAGCCAACAATCATTTTTTTTTTACAAATACCGGCTCAGGAGTTCCGTTCATATCAGCTCTCGAGTTGCGGTTGCTGGATAACTCAACTTACCACATCAATTCTGGTGCACTTGTAACCAACTGGAGATATAATTTAGGTAGCTTAAACACATACAGGTGATTTTCTTTGTTATTGCCCCTCATTTTTGGACGTTGACCACATTTATCGGTCAGTAAATGACGTGTTAGCGTATTTACAATTTACAAAACACGCACTTTCGCATAATGCAACTGCACGAACAATAGAAAACAGTCTGTTATTCCCCAACCAATTTGTGTCGGCTTGTTCATCATTTTGCACTTACTATCATAATTATTTGACTAGCATCTGCATTAATAGGCATCCACAAGATGTATATGATCGCATCTGGACCGGTCAGACATATAGTAATTGGGTGTCAGTCAGCAACACAACGGCCATCGTGACAAGTACAAGCAATGACGCCTACAAAGTTCCACCTGAAGTTTTGATGACCGCCACACAAACACAAAACGTCACTGATCCTTTGAGTCTGCTCTGGCCCTCAGCCAACTCTACTAATGATTGGTCTATGTACTTTCACTTTGTGGAATTGCAACTGCAAGAGAACCAAATCAGAGAACTCTTGGTATATGTACTAGATGAATTCGTGAAAACCGTCATGCTTGAGAACCTAAGGCCGGTGACCGTGGCCTCATTTCTCATAGCTGGATGATGTCACGCCCCGTACCCCCACGAAGCGTGAGCATCCCACCTTCGGTCGATAAATTGCGACGACCCAGGAAGCGTCGCCGACCCACGCCCATACAGAGATCAAGCACAAGTGGAAGTATAAAATAAACAAACCCAGACAATTACAATATGAGCCAAGGATAGCCATCCAATAAACAACGATCAACGCAGAAAATATGTACATACTTATATTACTATTTTAAAACTCTTTGTACAGTGTTCACGACAACCAAAAAGGAAACACCAACAGCTGGGAATAACCCAAACAGCCACTTCTCCGTTCTGCTCCGTCTCCACAGGGGTGCACGCTCAACGACCGCTGGATGAAATGCAGCATCCCAAAAAGTGGTGGTGTCCTCGGCATCCTACGGTTGGGGGTCTGAAAATGTTTCGGTTTACACAACCGTGAGACGAATCTCAGCGAGTTCAACCCCTAAACCTAGGCTAGGCTAGCATGCAATCTCCTGACCGGAAACAAATATTTATAATCACAACACGACAATAATCAAACCATTCTCAGACCCTGCAGGTTAGACAGATCAACATATAATAATCACGGCACATACGTGGCACGCATGATCACCCGTATACCAATTACATGCTCATGCACTGATTCTCACACCTTCGTATGCCAGTCTATGGATGTTCATGCATGCAAATGTCGTCGACATGTCATGCGTATTTCTCCGGCCCACTGGCCCACACTGGCATACTTGCCCAATTCATTATTATTACGACTCGAGTCATCAATTTTTAACGGCCGGGTGCGTCTAGCCTGCTTCAAAGTGCATGAGGCGCAGCAACCGATCAATAGATAGGATTTATATAAGTCCTAAATAACCCCTAAAAATGCCTAATTCCTTGCCATCAACCAATGACTCAACTAAGTACTCAACTTGGACAAATTGCACAAATTCGGTACTCAATGAACAGTATCAGGGGAGGACACATTTTGTCCACTAAACCACAATTAAACACCCTCATTAGGCTCTAATCTCAAACTCCAATCACCCAACAACCAAATACACTTAATTAGGCCTCAATTAAGTCCAAATAACACTTGAATTGCCTAATTTCAAGTCTTGAATCATTGAACTCAATTAGTGCCACACTTAGACAAATTTGTGCAATTTCGGTACTAATGAACAAGCATCGTGCGATTAAGCCTTAGTCACTAGTTCACACTTAAACAATCACATTAAGGCCTAATCACATACCCTAATCACCCAACTACCAAATACACTTACTTAAGCTTCAAATAAGCTTAATTAGCCCCTAAAATGTCCAATTCTAAGTCATTAACCATTGAACTCAATTAGTACAAAACTTAGACAAAAATACACAATTTCGGTACTCAAGAACGACTGCAGACAGGGGCTGTTTTGGGCCTTAATCCACCATTAAAACATCTCATTAGATCCTAATGACCCATACAAAACATCACACGCACAATTAAACCTAATTAACCCTCAATTAGGCCTAATTAACCCCTAAAAATGCACAATTAAACTAATTAAGGGTTTAGGGGTTTATACTCGCCTATTAACGACTCGGGACGACAGGAACGGGCGGTCGATCACCGACGCGCGGTAAGGATCGACGGCGGCGTTCCGGGTGCAAGCCGGCGGTCCGCGGCGACACCGGCGGAGGCGATTTGCTGCTGGTTTTGTTCTGTTTGGGCTGGAAATGGGACTGTGGATGGCCGAACAGGTGAGAGGAAGGTCCAAGGGTCTTTGTGGCGTGCGGTGGTAGGTGGCCGCGGCTCACGCGATCTTTGTTCCGGCGTGAAACGAGTGCACTGAGAAAATGCGAACGTGAACTGCAGAACCAGAAACGGAAGAGAAGAAGAAGATTTTCTGGGGAAATGACCGAATGAATCTCACGAGAGAGAGAAATGGTTTGGTCCAAGTGAGTCAACAATGGGTGAGTGGATTCCAAGTGTCAAGATCTAGGGCTATTGGACAATTTTGCCCTTGATCCAATGGCTATGATTCCTTCTTATCCAATTATTTAGGGGTAAAATGGTCATTGATCCTTAACCCAAGCTGACCAGATCTGGTTTAGCCCTAACTCACCTTGGTTAGTCCCCTAATTAAATCCAAAATTCGGAATTACCAAAAATGGGTCCAAGGGCATTTTGGTAATTTTTCGGTCCCGGGTCAAAATTCCAATTTTCGCACACCCGCGTTCCATATGTGCGTGGCCAACATAATATGGCGTCGGAATCGCGAAATTCACTTTTTAAGTCCTCGAAAACTGACTGCAAAGTTTCGGGAATAAAATAATATTATTTTTCAAATTTTTTTCGATATTCCACTTTTTGGCCAAAACCACTCTAAATGTGCATGGCCACCCCAAAATGACATTGGCCGCGAAAAATAACCTCAAACGGCCTCCGAATCCGGCCTCGGTTCCCACAGGGGCAAAATCGTAATTTCTCACCCCCGGACCGAAATTCCAATTTTCACTCGTACTAACCCCAAACGTGTGTGGCCAGCGTAATATGACGTCAAATTCCCAAAAATAGTCTCTTAAGCCTTCGAAAATCGACCTCGAAATCTGGGCTCAATTCCGTGAACAAAACTCGTTAAACTTTCAATTTCAGGGTCTCTCACTAACGGGCGGCTGTTTAGGAGTTACGCGTATCGACCTAGGGCTATCCATATCGTAATGGTTTCGATCATTGAGAGAATGAGAAATTATCATTAGTTCCAGAGGTCACGATCGCTCGGTTCAAGTTCAAGACTGGTTGGCCATGTGTACTTTCGGTCTTGCAGAATCACCTGCGATCCGATGGTACATCGTTGGCCTTGGCCAAACCAGATCCGTTACCTTTCCTAAGATCGATCCATACTGGTTCATAATATTCTCTCGTCATTTCTCGAGATCGGTGCCCAATTCACGATCGGGTCCCTGGTCGACGTACCATTTTCCTAGTTAGCCATACCCCATTGGTTAGTATCCCGAGAGTGATCAGCTCTGGGCGAGACTTACTAAAATGAAATGCGAAATATGATCAATTTATTGATCCCGGAATTACATCGAAATTCAGGCTGTTACAGACGATCTTTGGAATTGACTATTAATGCGATGACCCGCTCTACTCTGCCACCTCTCCTAGTCATGGTCACGGGCCGGTTTTGGCTCGGAACCGGCCCGGTCAAACCCGAGCCCGGCCCGTTGACCGGGCCCGCGGTTCGGAACCGGAACCGGCCCGCGGCCTACGGGCCCGGTTCAGGTTCCAAATTATTTTTAAAAAAAAAATAATGAATATTTTTAAAAAAAATTCATTATTTAATTTTTTTTTATAAAACAAATTGAACTCTAATTGCTATGCATTGTAAGTGCATTGATCTCCAATTACATTGCTTGGCTTGAGTGTATTGAACTCTAATTACAAAGCTTGGCTTGGGTTTTATAAACAACCCCTTTGATAGTCTCTTCATTCTCAATTGATGTGGGACTCTCGGCTTGCCTTGAACACCTTCAATGTGAGACTCTTGGCTTGTCTTCATGCAAATGCCAAGAGTCCCACATCGAATGGGAATGAAGAGACCATCAAAGGGGTTATTTATAAAACCCAAGCCAAGCCATGAGCATGTGAAGTTGTATGCATTTTGTGGTTACGATCCTTTGCTAGTTAAGAGCAAAGGGTTCCATTGGACCGCCTAGAACCAGACCGGACCAATGGTCCGGTTCCCGGTCCGGTTCCTAGTTCTAAAATTAAAAGACCGGTCTTACCGGTTCGGTTCCCGGTTCCGACCGGGAACCGATCACCCCTATAATTTTCATTTTGATTATAATTTATATTAAATAATTCATTATTTCATATTTTTATAATTCATTATTTTTTTATTTCATAATTTATTTTTTAAAATTTTAAATTACGAACCGGAACCGGAACCGCCCCTAGCGGTTCCGGTTCCGGTTCGGACATGGCCACGAACCGGAACCGGCTGGTTCCGAACCGTGGCCATGACTAACCTCTCCTCAATGCCGTCGAGATTTTCACCGTGGCATACCTTCCAAATTCACCGACTTTTCTTGATGACTGTATGTGTACATCTATGCTCTCACTTGATTTTTTTGTTTCAATACTCTTTGATTTCCTTATGACGGTAGCTCTTTATGTGGTGGTTTAGTCAATGCTATGTATGATGTCAAGAAAACGTATGGGGTGATCAGAGCTAACTGGCAGGGTGATCCATGCATTCCTACACAGTACTCATGGAGCGGACTGAAGTGTAGCTATGATAGTTCCCCAAGAATCATCTCGTTGTAAGTCCACGACTACATCTTTTCTCTGAAAACATGCTGCATACAAACACCACAAGTCTCTGAAAGATGAGTTTTCTCGACAATAAATTTTGTATAGACTGGTAATAGATCATGCAACTAAGGAAATGATTTCAAAAATCAAGTCTCTATATTAAAGCCTTCCACGTTAAAAGTTTTGACTAGTGGGATTTTATTCTTATAAAGTTAGCTGCGGATGTGCAGGAACCTGAGTTCTAGTGGACTGAAAGGACTGATAGCTACATCGATCTCCAATTTGACAGCAGTTGTATCCCTGTATGCATTAGTAGTTTTTCTTTCATATTGTTTACGTTTTTTTTTTAGTGAAATTTCATATTGTTTACTTAATTTGCACAGAAAGAAAATGGACATCACCAAGCCCAAAAAAAGCAACACCCTTCTTTATAAATAGCATAATGTTCATTATCTACCTTATCCTATTTTATGCATTTCAATTAGTATATGCATATCAAGTTTCTCAGTACTTTTTTGGCTTAATTTCAGGGATTTATCCAACAATTCATTAAGTGGGTCTGTGCCTGACTTTTTAGCGCATATGCCGAGCTCGAAAGTTCTGTGAGTCACTGAGCTTTTAACAGAAAGGTTATGTGTGGTTATCTAGCTCGTGTAAATGGCTGTCAACTTCTACTCATGAATACTTGCAGGAATTTAAGTGGAAACAACTTGAATGGCTCTGTTCCTCAAACACTTTTGAAGAAGAAGGCAGATGGATCGTTGCTACTAAGGTTCGCTTATGGCCACACTATCGTATCACTACATTTAATCACTAATTATTATCTATACAATCTGCTTCTTCTTTCTGTACGTTCTGCTCCCTCTGAAGAATGAAAAAGACGAAAGTGCTACTTGCTTTTTTAGTTTTCTGTTTGATCAACTTATGTATGTAATACTTGCACAGGGTGGGATTTCCATGAATTCTAGGGCTAATCTTTTGGCATTGACATGTACTATCGACGTTTTTTGACAGCATAGATGGAAATCCAAATCTTTGCCAATCAGACAATTGTCAGACCAGCAATGTGCAGACAAAGAAAAAGGGCATCTCTATTGCTCCAATCATTGCATCAGTTGCAGCCTTGATTTTCTTGGGAGCTCTTGCAGTATTGTGGATAATCAAAAGAAGACAAATCCAAAGTAACTCTCTTGCGTATTGCATTGCATCAGAATCAAAAGTGTTACATGTGATTTTCCCAATCCAGGTCGGGTTTTGAACCCCAAACTGGTTAACTGGTCCAATTGCTCACGGCCCTTTCGACAATCGGGCCGGAAAAAGTGAACATGATAATCTTGCATCTATGCATCACTGTTTCATGTTAAAAACTATGCACGCGTTATATCTTGATAATATCATAATCGCATCAACGCGTACCGCCATCTCATGTAGATAAAGGCATGAATACTTTCCTCATTTGGTTGAGGCAACTTGTGCTATTTCTGGTTCATTTTTCACGACACGGTCACTTCTTCATATGAGTCATTACATACTTCTTCAAGATGGTTCTGTTTGCAGTTAAGGCATATGATATCAGACTAAAGATCATGATCCACTTAACTCTGTTAAGGTTATATAATTTCCTTTTTATTTCTCCAGATGTTACTACTATTGCTACGACTACCAACTCTAACAGAGGATCTACTAGGACATTAAGGTTGTCAAAAAATCAACATTTTACATCCACTGAGGTTACAAAAATTACTGATAACTTTAGAACAAAAATCGGACAGGGAGGATTTGGGAAAGTTTACTTCGGCAGACTTGACGATGGCACTGAAGTTGCAGTAAAAATGCTATCTCAATCATCAAAGCAAGGCTACAAGGAGTTTCACACAGAGGTTCGAAACACCAGTGCAACTAGAATCAATATGTCATGTTTTCGATTTTTTGAGTGTTCTACTCATGGCAAGCTCTGATACCTGGATGTACAGGCGCAACTCCTGATGGTCGTTCACCATAGAAATCTGGTTTCACTTATCGAATATTGCGAAGAATTTGAAAACACGGCGCTGATTTACGAATTCATGTTCAATGGAAATGTTCAACAACATTTGTCAGGTTTGTCTAATATTTCCTTCTCCAAATTCTAACCAGATAAAGCACCACTTAGACTCTCACTATATGACAGCATGACATGTGTCAGAGTTATATTTTATCTCAACTCTGTTCTCTGATAGTTCAGGCTTTTGGATTAATCGATCTAGTTACATAGTTATTAATAGCACAACGGAAATGAAATTAACTTTTTCAGCGAATGAATAAGATGGTGAACAGGATTTTACATCTTTCATGATTGGAATACTCCTTAATCCTCTACTTTAAAGCAGCAAAAAACCCGAATGTTTTGAGTTGGAGCCAGAGACTACAAATCGCAATCGATGCAGCTCAAGGTACATAAAGTAGATTGATGAAATCTTTGTTCACATATCCACAAGTTGAGGAACACAATACATTTGATTAACTTTTTTCTTTTTTGTTGGTGGTGCAGGGTTGGAGTACCTGCATAATGGCTGCAAACCTCCCATTGTCCATAGAGATTTAAAGACACCCAATATTTTACTAAACGAAAACATGCAAGCGAAGATTGCTGATTTTGGATTATCGAAGGCATTTGTAACAGAGCATGATTCTCATATTTCAACTCGCCCATCGGGAACACCTGGTTATCGCGATCCCGAGTAAGCGACTCGAAGCTACAACTCTGAATACAAAGACTATTCCACTTCGGAAGCAGATTAACTGTGCTGATTTAGACCAGCGCGAGAGGCCCATACATTTTACTTGTACACGTTTATGTTTGATACACGTATGTAGGTACGTTTTTGAAAGGCAGTTTCAGCTATTATTGTACTAATCAAAGCAACAATTCCTTTTGAATCCTCAGGTTTCATACATCTGGAAACTTGAACAGGAAGAGTGACGTGTATAGCTTCGGTGTAATTTTATTCGAGTTAATCACTGGCCACCCCGCCATTATAAGAAGTCCAGAGGGCAGCACGCACATACTTCACTGGGTGACTCCACTCATTGAAAGAGGGGACATCCAAAGCATTGTCGACCCGAGGTTAAATGGCCAATTCAACATCGGTTCTGCATGGAATGCGGTGGAAATAGCCATGTCGTGTGTGCCGACGACAGCGGTCCAAAGGCCAGACATAAACCGTGTTCTGTGGGAACTAAAAGAATGCTTGACAGCAGAGATCGGTTCAGGAAGAAGCCAAAGAATGGGAAACAGTAAGAGAAGTGAGTCTTTTGAGATGAGCTCACTTGACGTTGATATTGCTCCGAGTGGTCGTTAACCATACTCGTATATAAGGTTATCATGCTCATCTTCCCTGTATAAGTTGTTGATTATTACATCGAACAGATTTGAAAACTTTTGTGCAAAGTCTGAGCTTGTGGCTTTAAATTGTGAGTGATGCATATTGGGGTTGTTGCTTTTCTAGCTGAGTGAATAAATGAGTGAATGTTGAGTTCCATTCACAGTTGGGCCCCTCTTTATAAGGCTACAAACTGTACAGTTACGAAGATGTTGATAGCTAGCCTTGCTCAGTCATCCATGTGAACCCTGTATACTGAAGCAGAGGAAAAATGAATTTCTTTCATTGTTATACCATCTGTTTTATAAACCAAAGTCATCTTTTGACAATCTTTGCCAACCCAACCACCTAAATAGCCCGAAGAGTAGCACTTACGTCATCCAATTGGTGTCGCCTCTCATCGAACAAGAGGATATAGAGAGCATCATGGATCAGAGGCTGCAAGGGCGGTTCAGTGCCCGCATCTGCTTGGAAACTAGTCGAGGCAGCAATGTCATGCGTGGCTGTGACTGCGAACGAGAGGCCGAACATGAACTCGCATGCTGTTGGAGCTGAAGGATGCTTGACTCTTTCTAGGCGTGGTACCTGATGAACCAAGGGATTCTGTCCTGCTTCACCCTTCACGCTCGCTGTCTATGATTTTGATGCAGGTCTGTGAAAATGTCCCCCGAGACAGTGCTCAATGTGCTCCAAAACCTTCCTATGAACTCATAGAGTGACAGATGAAATTGAAGAAAGGAAACTGCTGTTTTGCAATGAAAGAACAAATACTACATATATCTATCGGCCGAGTAATCTAACAAATCTTTTACCACATGTCGTGTAATCTAGTAACGTGTTGTGTGTTCCAAAAAAAGAAGAAGAACTCTCTAAATATTAAATTGAGCCACCTTAATACGAGAAATTTTGTTGTTGTATCAAGGCTGCACTATCTATTTTCTATTTAGTCAGTTTGCTGATGTCCTATTATCTAGGAGTTAATTAGTTGTGGTTTTACTTGGTCAGTCCTATTTTGTAGGAGTGTTTAGCCGCATGTTTTCTTTAATCGCTCTCTGTTAGTTTGTTGCTGGTTTTGTGGACCAAGCAAGTTGTTAGTTAGTGGGCAAAGTGTAGTTAGTGGAAAAGCTTTAGTCTGTATTTAAGCAATTTCAGTTTTCTGAATAGATATAGAAGTTCCCTTCCAATACATTCTGTCTTGCTGCAAAATACAGATTTTGCTGTCAATTCTCCTTCTGTTCTTTAAAAAAACAACATTGGTATCAGAGCCTTCTTGATCTTAAGGGGCTGTGAGTGACTTGTGAGATTGATTGAGAGGTGTGTCTGCATCCATAGAAGCCGAAGGCAAGATGGAGGCAAGATAGAGTGGTTTTTCAGCAATGGCTCCACCAGTGTTTGATGGAGAAAATTATCAAGCCTGGGCAGTGAGAATGCGAGCCTATCTAGGGGGTTGTGATTTTTGGGAAACTGTGGAACAAGATTATGAAGTTGTTCCCCTTCCTGACAATCCAACCATTAATCAAATCAAGTATCACAAGGAGAGGACAACAAGGAAAGCAAAGGCAAAGTCTTGTTTATATGCTGCTGTCTCACCTGCCATTTTCAGCAGAATTATGGCTTGTGAATCAGCCAAAGCTATCTGGGACTTCCTCAAAGCTGAGTATCAAGGAGATGAGAGGATCAGAAGCATGAAGGGGCTAAATCTGATCACAGAATTCGAGAGACTACAGATGAAGGAGTCTGAGACAATTAAGGAGTATTTTGATAAGTTGATAAGCATTGCAAATCAGGCAAGAGTTCTAGGCACTGACCTCTCTGATAATAGGCTAGTGCAGAAGATTCTTGTCTCCTTGCCTGAAAGGTTTGAGGCAACCATTGCCTCTTTGGAGAATACCAAGGATTTGTCTCATATCAAGTTGGCAGAATTGTTAAGTGCTCTGCAAGCACAAGAGCAGAGGAGGTTAATGAGGCTGGAAGGAAGTACAGAAGGAGCTTTGCAGGCCAAAGAACAGCAAAACGTAGGAGGAAAAGGCAAGAAGTGGAAAGGGAAGAAAGGGAATGGCAGTAGTGGTTCAGAAGCTGCCGCAGGAGAGAATAGTGCGGGCAACTCCAAGAACAATTGGAGAAGGTATTCCTCATGTCAGCACTGTGGAAAACAAAATCATCCACACTTTAGGTGTTGGAAGAGGCCAGATGTAAGGTGCAAAAAATGTCATAAGCTTGGACACATTGAGAAGTTCTGCAAAGAGAAGGGAGATCAACAGCAAGGTGAGGCACATGCTGCAGTCCAGCAAGAGGTAGATCAACTGTTTGTTGCCTCTTGTTTCTCCTCTAGTACTCCATGTGACAGTTGGCTTGTTGATAGTGGTTGCACAAACCACATGACAAGTGATGAAAAGCTATTTATAGACCTTGACAAGTCATTGAAGTCAAGAGTGAGGATTGGGAATGGGGAGTACTTAGAAGTGAAAGGTAAAGGGACTGTAGCAATAGAGAGTTGTGCTGGAACTAAGCTGGTTTCTGATGTGATGTATGTGCCTGAAATTGATCAGAATTTGCTGAGTGTGGGGCAGTTGGTAGAAAAGGGATTTAAGGTGATATTTGAAGAGGGGAAGTGTTTGATCTTTGACTCCAGTGGTCGGGAGCTATTCAAGATAAAGATGCGACAGAAGAGTTTTTCTCTGAATCCTCTCGAGAAGGAGCAGGTGGCATTCAAGTGTCAGGCCAGTGATTTAGAGATATGGCACAAGAGGTTGAGCCACTTTCATCATAAAGGCTTGCTGTTCATGCAGAGGAATGAAATGGCAACTGGGTTACCAAGCCTGGAGGAGCAAATCACAAGGTGCAAGGCTTGTTTGCTGGGCAAGCAGACAAGACTTCCCTTCAAGGAATCCACTTGGAGAGCTACAGAGAAGCCGCACCGATTCATACAGATCTCTCGTGGTCCACAAGTGACTCCTTCACTAAATGGCAGCAGGTATTTCATTATTTTCATTGATGATTATACTAGAATGTGCTGGATTTACTTCATGAAGCAAAAGTCAGAAGTTGCTGAGGTATTTTTGAAGTTTAAGAGATGGGTTGAGAATCAAAGTGGCTGTAAGATTCAGGTCATCAGATCTGATAATGGAACAGAATACACTTCACAGACGTTCAACTCTTTCTGTGAAGAGGCTGGAATTGAGCATCAGCTTACTGCTCCTTACTCTCCACAGCAAAATGGAGTTAGTGAGAGGAAGAATAGAACCATTATGGAGATGACTAGGTGTCTGCTACATGACAGGAATCTACCAAAAGAATTTTGGGCAGAAGCAGCAAACACAGCAGTTTTTCTGCTGAATAGACTGCCTACAAGGGTATTGGAGAAGAAGACAACCTTTGAAGCTTGGTTTGGTGTTAAGCCAATTCGAAGAAATTTGAAGGTGTTTGGCTGTCTATGTTTTTCTCATGTTCCGCAGGTCAAGAGAGACAAGTTTGGGAGAGAAAGCGAACCGGATCTTTGTTGGCTACGGTTTAGTGTCAAAAGCCTATAGGATCTATCAACCACGGACGAGAGAAGGTGATCACTAGCAGGGATGTTCAGTTCCTAGAAGATGAGCAATGGGATTGGACAGATGAGCCACAAGGCAAGCACAAGGAGGTCTCACTGGAACCTGACGAGCTGGTGGATGATGTTCCAGTTAGAGGTACCAAATCTCTGACTGATATATATCAGAGGTGTAGTGTGGCTGTTTTGGAACCTGCAGGTTATGAGGAAGCTAAAAGTGATCAGAGGTGGATGAATGCAATGAAGGAAGAGTTGGCTATGATAGAAAAGAACCAAACATGGGAGCTAGTGGAGAGGCCTGAAGACAGAAAGGTAATTGGAGTAAAATGGGTTTTCAGGACCAAACTCAATCCTAATGGCTCAGTGAATAAGCATAAGGCCAGGTTGGTGGTGAAGGGATATGCACAGGTTTGGGGAGTTGATTTCTCAGAAACCTTTGCTCCTGTGGCAAGACTGGATACAATTAGAATGACTCTTGCTTTGGCAGCTCAACAAGGATGGAAGGTGTATCAGTTAGATGTGAAATCTGCATTTTTGAATGGAGTGTTGCAGGAGGAGATTTATGTTGAGCAGCCAGAAGGCTTTGTCACACCAGGCCAGGAGGAGAAAGTTTATTTGCTAAGAAAGGCTCTCTATGGCTTGAGGCAAGCTCCCAGAGCATGGTACAGTAAAATGGATGAGCACTTACTAGGCCTGGGTTTCAAGAAAAGCCTCAGTGAATCCACTCTATATGTCAAGAAGTTAGTATCTGACTTAGTGGTGGTGTCTCTTTATGTGGATGATATGCTGGTGACAGGGAGTAATAGTGCTCAGATTACTGCATTTAAGCAAGAGATGATGAAGATGTTTGAAATGACTGATCTTGGTGAGATGTCGTATTTTTTGGGGATGGAGGTTATGCAGACTCAGAATGAAGTTTTTATCTGTCAGAAGAAGTACATGAAGGAGATCCTGAAGAGATTCAATATGGAGGAGTGCAAGAGTGTAAGTACTCCAATGGGTCAGAAGGAAAAGCTTCAAAAGAAGGATGGATCAGAACTTGCAGATGAACGAGTTTATAGAAGTTTGATTGGCTGTCTTATGTATCTCACTGCAACTAGGCCAGACATCATGTTTACTGTAAGTGTCTTGTCTAGATTCCTTAATTGTGCAAGTGAGTTGCATATGGTAGCTGCAAAGCGGGTGTTGAGGTACTTGAAAGGTACTCTTTCATATGGAATTAAGTTTTGCAGAATTCAGGAGTTTAAGTTGCAAGGGTATTCTGATAGTGACTGGGCAGGATCTGTGGATGATATGAGAAGTACTTCAGGGTATTGCTTTACATTTGGGTCGGCATGTTTTTCCTGGTGCTCAAAGAAGCAGGAAATAGTGGCTCAATCAACTGCAGAAGCTGAGTTCATTGCAGCTACTGCAGCTGTGAATCAAGCATTATGGATAAAGAAGCTGATGGATGATTTGCATTTGGAGCAAGAAGAAGGCATAGCAGTATTTGTGGATAATCAAGCTACTATGGCCATTTCACAGAATCCAGTATTTCATGGAAGAACAAAGCATTTTAAGGTCAAGTATTACTTCTTGAGAGAAGTGCAGAAGGCTGGAGAGGTGAAGCTGGTGTACTGTAGTTCAGAAAACCAAATTGCAGATATATTCACTAAGTCATTTCATGTTGGTCGATTTGAACTTCTCAGGGCAAAGCTAGGAGTGTGCAGCACTTGATCCAGGAGGAGAGTGTTGTTGTATCAAGGCTGCACTATCTATTTTCTATTTAGTCAGTTTGCTGATGTCCTATTATCTAGGGGTTAATTAGTTGTGGTTTTACTTGGTCAGTCCTATTTTGTAGGAGTGTTTAGCTGCATGTTTTCTTTAACTGCTCTGTTAGTTTGTTGCTGGTTTTGTGGACCAAGCAAGTTGTTAGTTAGTGGGCAAAGTGTAGTTAGTGGAAAAGCTTTAGTCTGTATTTAAGCAATTTCAATTTTCTGAATAGATATAGAAGTTCCCTTCCAATACATTCTGTCTTGCTGCAAAATACAGATTTTGCTGTCAATTCTCCTTCTGTTCTTTAAAAAAACAACAAATTTAAATCACCAAATAATTAATTCATAAGAGTCTACAAGGATATTGTTTAAATATAGAATAAAAGAGAAATATGATGCAAGATTTGCAATTCTTTCAAGGAAGTCACCGAGAAGATTCAAATTTTCCAATAAAAACACATGAAAAATGAAATAGTATTTTTAATTGACAAGTCAGATACGATATATTATGAAATAAGCAATGAAGTGCATATAGGAAAAGAAAAAATATTGAGGTCTTCTTTATTTTATATGATTAGTATAAATGAGACAACAAAACGTGAATTGCAATGAGAAAATTCAACTATGACACAAGACAAGACGAGACAAGACGACATGATAGTTTAAATTTTTTTAATTAGCAATTAACAAGTTTTTGGCGTGATTCTATAATATGACTCCTCAATTACGTTCTTTTTTTTTAGTGTGTGGGAAAACGAAGACATGAGCCCTGACCTGATGCCTGATGTCTGATGATCCTCTCTACTTCTTACCTGTCCGAAGCTTCCCTTGACTTTTGAACTTCGCGGGGTTTCGTGCTGACTTCTTCGTCCTCCTCTCGCTCTGAACTCTGCTAATATTCCGTCTTTCTGATATTCTCGCGCTCTCTTTTTATGTCACGCAAGCATCAGAAATGAGAACTTTGCGAACACTCTGCACCCACAAGCACCTCCTCAGTCCCACCACTAAAGCCACATCCGTCGCTTTCTACTGCAGTATTCACGCCACAAATCACCGCCTTCTCTCGCAAAATCCCAGTCTCGCATCCTTCTCCTCGAGTTATAAGTCAGAGACGAGCGACACTGCCCACACCGTTGACAATGACTACGACCCTGCCACCCGCCGGGTCAGAAGCAGCGACAGAGAACCAACCATTCATGCTGATTATTCTAACACATTAGTACTTCTATTAATAGATTTTGGAAGAACAACTTGTGTCCCCGTAATTCCGTCGATTAAATGATCTCTTGGATGCTTGATATTTAGCTAGGGACCCTTTGGAGAGGTGGTTTTGAGAGTGCTAGGTGGTGGTCTCGTGCCAGGTTTGGCCTACTTTTTTTGTTGTATGGTCCGCATGAATCTGCAGCTGTAGAACTTTCACCTGGGATATACGGAATATTTGAAGAATTCAGTTCTATCAAAGCTATTGATTTTGCTGCATTGTGGCTCTAAAGGTTTCTTAATCTTGGTGGGAGGTGATCCTGGTGTTGGCAAAAGTACCCTGTTCCTGCAGGTTGTTGTACTTAAAGGATACATTAGATAATCACCAGATATGATTAGTTATCTAATTATCTATTTCCTAATCTAACATTGTGCTCTACCTTGTCCACATCTCATATATTGCATCTTTCTATTGGATGATGGCTGCAATGACTGCTGAAGGGCATGGAAAGCTGTCGAGATGGCCATATTTTGCGTGCCTTTGAGAGCGATCCAAAGGCCGGATATAGGTTGTGTGCTGTCGGAACTAAAGGAGTGTTTGGCATCTGAAGTTGGTTCTGGGAGGAGCCAACCATTGGGAAATGGCAAGAGAAGCGATCCCTTTGAAGTAACTTCTCTTCAGCGAGATCTATTTACTTCAAACCCTCGGTAACTCGCTAGCGAAAACACATGACCCCTATAGAGAATTCCCACTTTTCTTTAAAATATCGAGTTAGGAATGCGCATGCATATGGAAACTTCTTCATGTTCTCTGTTTTATGGTTCCACCGAAGTAGACAAATTTGGCATGACCGTCTCTTGGTCTTCACTTACATCACATAAGCAAATGCGGTTTTCAGTAATCCCTGTATAAGCTATTGACCAACAAATTAAGGACGTGATTACAAGAAATGGGACAGAGCTTTTTGAAATGGTAAGCTAATTCCTGTGAATTCTTTGTAAATTAATGATCTCTCGCAGTATCTTTTGATGTATTGGTGCCTCTTACGGGGTGTGTTTCTCTCAAATTGTTTTGTGGATTGAACTGATGATCATAGACCTTGTAGATCAAGTCTTTGCCATTATCAAAAGAAAAACGGGGAAAAAAACAATTGACCTGGAAATTACAAATTTATAAACTTGGCCTATATACTCGGCAAAGCTGATGAGCGATTTGTTTTAAACGGGAAAAAGTATACACCACTTGTCATTGATTGTTTATCTTTGGCTTTTTTCTAATTAGGTATTTCACAATATCTTGCGAGGAATATTCAGCAAATATTTCTTTTGAAAAAATGGAGAGGTAAAATCAAGTATCTCAATTTGTCCGTTGTGAATGTGAAGAAAGATTTGATGTGCCATGAAGATCTTGAAGATGTTGCATGTCTTGATTGGTTGTCTCGCTCTAGGAGTTGTCGCTCGCGGGCAGCAAAATCTAGGTTCTCTCTCGCGCGCGCGCAGCATTGATTGAATTGTGAAGAGTTGGGACATTAGATAAAAGGGATTCTAGAGAAGGGCACAGTGATGATTTTGTGGGTACCCTTTATTCTGTTACCGATCGACCTTTCAAGTTTAAGACAAGAAATGGTCATACTCAAATTTGATTTCAAAACTGAGCATTTAGTATCTAGGCAGAGTCGAGCTTTAGAACTTTCAGTTGTTAATCTAATCACAAGAAACGGGACAGAGCTTTTTGACCAACAAATCAATGGCGAATTTAACACGCACCCTCTGAAAACCGAGTCGCCCGATTTAGGAGTTTTAAACAATGAGGAATTCGGCCTGCAAACACTGGATGAGATGATATAGCGGTCGTCTTCTTCGTGGACTCCACCTCGCGCAGGACATCCAAGCCCGTCGACTCCATTAATGGAGGCATTCAAGCGACCTCAAACCTTCGTTGCGCGGCCTCGTATGGTCTCCAAGATCGGGGTGAAACTGGCCCAGAGGCCGAGGACAGCCAGCGTTATGAGCTTGTAGAGCATGTCGGTGGTGATGAAGCGCAGATTCATTGCATGGATATCGTTCTTGGCGATGAGGTGGAAGGAGATGAAGACACACGGAAGAAGATGAATACTTGGAAAAGAATTGAAAAAAAAATCAATTTAAATTTTTTTGAAATGATGTCGTTTTGATTCATTTCTTCAACAATTATCGCCAGCCAGCCGTACCATATAGGATAGCCGGCATTGACTAAACCTCTACAACAGCATTTTATGGCCTAAATTGATTGAAAAGACTACATTGATAAATCATAAAAGGTTTAGGACTAAATTGTCTAAATTAAAAGTTTAGAACTGAATTGACAACTTACAATATGCTTAAAATTGATTGGCTATTTTCCCTTCATTTCAAGCTTCGGAATTCATTTATAGACTGTCCCAATTCCTCACCCAGTATTTGGACAAAACACTCTATATGTTCTTTTTTTTTTTTGGTGAGAAACATCAATGCCTTTTCAATTCAAGTTAACCAAAAACCTGTTAAATTGTTCTTTCGTCCAATTAGTTCTAAGGTAGGTATAGTTATTAATTGTTCGTCATTACCATGGACAAAATATTAACACCTCCAATAAGTTTGAGTTTGCACTTAATGCAATACTAAAATATTATTTAGTTTTGGGTGCGCCAAAAAGACACGAGAATTAGTAAATTTAATTTTAAAATAAAATTGTACCAACAAAACATGAACTTTTTAATAAGAGACCCTTTGGTCATGAGGAGCATACATGCACGAGAATATACACGCTGATATCACGTGTTGATCGAATGAAAATGTTATGTTATCACTATATAGTAGCCCTCACGCACCCGCATGACCTATCCTAACAAATGTTACGCTATCACTATATAGTAGCCCTCAAGCACCTACTATATAGTGATGGCATAACAATGTGTTTATAAATATAAATATATATTTATATATATTTTGTGTGTGTGTGTGTGTGAAGTAGCCTTTGTTAGAGTAGGTCATGCAGGCGTGAAAACTACAATATAGTGATAGCATAACAATACATATATATATAAACAGCCCAATGTCCTTTTCATATTTGATCCTCCTAATTGCTGTATAATGGAAGCTTTTAGAAACATCCGTGCTCCCATCAGCACGTGCAAGGATACCCAAGCAATGGGACATAATCATGACAAGGTCAAGCATGTGCATAAGCCAATGGATGTGCAAGATAGCAAACCGAGTCTACTGAGTTAACACTCTATATTAGTGGCTCTAAGCTATGCTTCATGTGGCAATGTACTTACAAATCTCTCTCTCTCTCTCTCTCTCTCTCTCTCTCTCTCTCTCTCTGAAACGGAGATGGTTTGATATGCCATGAAAGATGCTAGAGATTTTGCAGGTCTTGGTCGGTTGTCTAGCTCTAGGAGTCATCGCTCGCGGGCAACAAAATCCAGGTTCTCTCCCTCTGTCTCTCTCGCGTGCGCACGTAATGATGATTGAATTGTGAAGAGTTAAGCATTAGATAAGCAGGATTCTAGAAAAGGTCACAGTGATGATTCAGTGTCTACCTTTCTTTCCATTAGTGATCGACCTTTCAAGCAAAAGACAGAACGTAGTCATGCTCCAATTTGATTTCAAAAATGAGCGCCTAGTATTTAGGTAAAGTCGAGCTCTAGAAGTTTTAACGGTTTTAAAGCTACGTAGAGCAATCTTTTGAGCTAAAATTTAAGAATTTAGCAAAGTTAAGTCCCTTCGAGATTCTCTAGGAAACATTTATAAATCCTAGTGTAACATCCTCTAGCATACTTTATTTTTGCAAATGACATCTCTGTTTTAAAGATTTTCATGGGAAAAGTGTCAGAAAAGTCCTAACCTATTGTAATTATGCCAAATTATTTCTGAACTTTTTTTTGTACCAATTTAGTCATAAACCTTTTGACCAAATACCAATTTAGTCCCTCTGGCTAATTTAAGACGGATATTGCTGACATGGATGTCGGGCGGCTTACGTGACATCGTTGGCGCTGACGTGGATAACTTTTAATCATATTTTAATATTTTTTTGAATTTTTTATTTTTTATGAGGCCCGCCCTCGCTAGATTTGGTGAGGGTGGAGCCTCACCGGCCATGGGCAAAGAACGACCTCGCCAGATCTGGCGAGGTCAAACCTTGCCCTCGTCCTCGCCCTCACCAGTGACTAGACGAGGCACAACCTCACTGGATTTGGTTTTGGCGTGGCTCGACCCTCGCCAGTCCAGCGCGAGGCCGCTCTCACCGGCCCTAGCCTCTGGCCGGTTGCCTCTGCAATCGGCTAGAGGAAGAAGAAAGGGAAGGAAAAATAAAGAAAAATAAAGAAATAAATATAAAAATAAAAATCGAAAAATTATTAAAAGTTGCCCACGTTAGAGCCGGCAGTACCATGTAAATCGGCTAGTGTCCACGTCAACAATATCCAACCAAAATCAGCCTTAAGGACTGAATTGACACTAGGTCAAAAAATTTAGGACTAAATTGGCACCGATGTAATAGGTTTAGGACTTTTCCGACATTTTTCCCAACTTTTCACATAAGCCTTTTCCATCCGTTCTCCATCGCAACTTCTTTTCAACTGACAATTATCAAGCCAATTATTATTGACTTAATTTTCATTGCTGAAATATCTATCTTGTTGATACGGTTGTAAAAAAGTTAGATAAAAAAGTTTAAGGGACAACGCAAGGAATCAAAAATATTTAGAACATTGTTTATATTTCGAATTCATGATGCATAGTCAAAAGCAAGTGACAGTCTCTGATTTGACCTCCATTTAGGTTTCATAAGCATCGATTGCAGCGCACCCAGGGATTACCATGACTATCAGCTTGACATATACTACAAGGCGGATGCAGGGTTTGTAGATTCCAGAACAAACATGCAGGTGTCCCCCCAGGTCATTTACCAATACAACCAACAACAATCAAAGAATCTCAGGGTCTTCCTCAATGGAACAAGGAATTGTTACACATTAATGATGGATGAAGGAAAGGGCAACACATATTTGGTCAGGGCTTCATTTTGGTATGGGGATTATGATGGCAAGAATCAAACCCTGGCATTTGACCTCCATATTGATGTTAACTATTGGATCATGGTGAACTCTTCGTCTTATGTATACGAAGAGATTATTTACACTCCTCCAAGAGATTATATTCAAGTTTGCATGGTGAATACTGGCTCAGGTATTCCATTCATATCATCTCTCGAGTTGCGGTTGCTGGATAACTCGATTTATTATATCAATTCTAGTGCACTTGTAACTAAGTGGAGATTTAATTTGGGGAGCTTAAACACGTACAGGTGAATCAATATACTGTTCGGAAAATCAATGACATCAAAGCAATGTATCACATTAAAAGAGAAAGCTGGCAAGGTGATCCATGCGTACCAAGCAATTACGCATGGGATGGTCTAAATTGTAGCAATGAAAATCCTCCAAGGATTTTATCGCTGTAAGTCCTCTGGCACCGTTTCTCAGATAATACTAATTTTCTTGATGATACCTGAGAAAAATTCTCATTCATCATGAAAACTGGAAGTTTTTAATATCCACAGGAAAGAACATTTAGAATAAATGCAACCTTCCAGGGTGAATTCTCATATAGGCTAAGAACTTTGTCATGCTTTTATCAAGTTCAAGGGGGGCATGATGGCAACTTTAGTGATTTAAAAGAGGGAGCTTTTGACATCCTAAGCCTCACATGTTATTGGAGAGAGCTCATAAACTAAATCTTAAGTTGACACCCACCCCCTAAAAGTCAACATCTTGATTATTTTATTGGGGGGTTGCTCCATTTGGAAGGGGTCGGTCATGACAAGCTATATACTCATCAACCGGCAATACATATTGCTCCCTCCTTCTCCGATGTATAGGTATGTTGTTCGTGCAACTTCTTTCACCAATAGCCTACGTTTCCAATTTTAGACTTCAGTGTTCCAAATTGCATCGTTTATGAGCAAATATTAGGTCCTCTGAAAATAATTTTTTAGGTACTCTAGGACCAATAATAACCACGAAATATAGAACAAGGAGTTAGGGAGACCCATGCAAGGAATGAGATGGACGATTGTAAATGGTCCTCTTAAAACATTTACAGCAGGAGAACCTAAAATATTTTTGTTCTGAATAATTGATTGCATAAACTTTTCATTGTTGTACCCAAAATTGCTGCCTTTATAAAGATGTCAATGACAGCCTCTACTTTGATTTATTATGGTCAGGAAATTGAGCTCAAGCAATTTGACGGGCGACATAGTCTCATCACTTTCACATCTATCAAGATTGGAATACTTGTAAGTATCACCGTGGTTGAATTAGTTGTGTCTGCACGTCACTCATGATTAAGCACCCCCTGGGAGTCAACTCATGGTTTAATGACTAAGGTTGTGGTTTATGAGACATAGGCTGTTGAAATGTTGCCCTAATGTGTGTGGAAACATCCTGCTTTTGGCTATGGAGCTGGTTAACTTGATATTAGGAGTCCTAAACTTGCTCTTTTCCAGAGATTTGTCCAACAACCAGCTTACAGGAGCAATACCAGAAACTCTGGCAGAGTTACCAAATCTTAAATTTATGTAAGTTACTGTGTCTAAGTGAAGCAGCAAAGGATTTCAAGTGGACAAATCGCTAATCATGGCTATATTTGCAGAAATTTAAGTGGAAACAACCTGATTAAAACAGTTCCTGAAGCACTCAAGAAAAGGATTGTGGACAATACTTTAAACATGAGGTTCTCTCTCTCTCTCTCTCTCTCTCTCTCTCTCTCTCTCTCTCTCTCTCTCTCTCTCTCTCTCTCTCTCTCTCTCTCTCTCTCTCTCTCTCATGCGACATTTATAGGTGGAAAGACAATTGGCACGTTTTATTTATTGTGATTAAAAGCAAATAAGAAGGCCAACTGTGACAGAATTTGGTCAATCAATCAGGACATTTTGTAGATAGGAATTTGAGTTCAGCTCCTTCATTCTTTGTGGCAGTTTAGAAATTGTGAATCTGTGCCTAGCCGATTCTTGCCTGCAGAAGAAGAAACAAAAAACCATCCTCGTTCCAGTTGTAACATCAGTTTCAGGCTTCTTTGTGGTTCTCTTTGGTGCTTCGGCTACTCTTTGGTCGATTCAACGCAAACGAACAGCAGGTAAGTTTTCTTACTTGTCCTGTTCAGGCAATCCTACATTACATTTGACGACTATCTTGACTATGCTTTTCCTTCGGTACAGTTCTATCTGCAACAATGTCTTTTCTATGATAATTTAGTTGAGAATATACAACTCAGCAACTTTCTTTCTCGTCTCACCCACCCTAGGGATATCATTTTACAATCTCATTGACATTGCAATCAGGAATGAATGATAGTTGGTTTTAATCAAAATTTTGCAATGCTAGTAATATGAGTTCATAATGATCACAAGAAAATGAAGACAAGAGAGAGACAGGGATCACCATAGCATGGTCGCATCAGTATCACAAAAAGAATGTGCAATATTCAGCTTAACTTATTGACAATAAAGTCTCTAATTTTTTTTCTTCAAAAGTAATCGTGCCATGCACGAGGACTAATAACAACTTGAGAGTACAACTTTGTCCTTAATATTCTGATGGTCCCTAAAAGAAAGTTTGATTGAGCAATCTCGAACTTATCTATATGTACTGAGCAAAGAAAAGTTACCTATTTGTCAGTATATTGAAAGCAAGTGACAGAGAATCCTTGCCCAGATCTTTTGATTTTTGTCCTCTTCTCCACCAATTTAGCTCTTAAAACGGGATCAGAAAAACCTTTCCTACGTCTTTTACTTGTTGAAACGCTATTGGAGTTATTTGCCTTGAAAGTCTATTATCCAAAGTGGTAGTTGCAATACTCATAGGAACCTTTTTGGTACAGAATCTAGTGAAAGGACGCTAAGATTAAAGAATCCACCTTTTAAGTATGGAGAGATTTCAAGAATCACTGGGAACTTTGGACGAATGATTGGTGAAAATGGATTTGGAAAGGTGTATCTTGATACACTAGATAACGGCACCGTAGTTGCTTTGAAGATGCTCTCTGAATCATCAAGGCAAGGGTACAAGGAATTTCAAGCCGAGGTTAGATATGATGATGCAATCATGTTTCCTATTAAAATCAACTTATGCTGACACTTACGCAAATGTTCGTTCAGAAACTTCCTCTTAGACTCTTCTCTGTATTTGTTATAATAACGCACACTCTTTATTCTGCAGGCGCAGCTCTTAATGATTCTTCACCACATAAACTCGGTCTCTCTGTTTGGATATTGCAATGAGTCCAAGCACATGGCATTAATATATGAATACATGGCTAATGGAAATTTATGGCCACATTTATCAGGTGGGTATTTATGTTCTTTTCTATTGTTTTCTTCTCTAAAATAATCCTGTAAAACTCTATTTCTTGCTCATACGTAAAGTTAAGATGCATCCAACAGGGGACCATCCGAAGGTCTTGACATGGAGTAACAGACTACAAATAGTTGTGGATGCAGCACAAGGTACACGAATGAGATATCCTCAGTTGTAGGTTTTTTCCCATCATTGCTTTGGCATTGTTTACACGTTTTTTGTGAGGATTTCAGGTTTGGATTATTTGCATAATGGTTGCAAGCCATCCATCATCCAGAGACTTGAAGACTACTAACATCTTGTTGATCGAAGAACTCCAAGCCAAAGTAGCTGATTTTGGCCTGTCTAGAGCTTTTGCAACTGAAAAGGACTCTCATGTGTCAACTTGTCCTGCGGACACTCCTGGCTACCTCCACCCTGAGTAATGGCTAAAACTCAATATTACTGTTATGGTTCAGTTCAGGATCTCAATTTGCATATACATATTGACATAGCCTAGGATTTTATCTTTGATATGAAGATCCGTATTTTTTTTCCTCCCAAGATTCATTCTTCTGGAAACTTTAACAAGAAGAGCGATGTTTATAGTTTTGGAGTCGTACTGTCTGAGTTGATCACGGGTCGACCTGCAATAGTGAGAAGTCGGGATGGCAGTGCCAGCATGCACATAATTGAATGGTTGATTCCGATAGTTGAAAGCGGTGGTATACAGAGCATTATGGATCCAAGGCTACAAGGAGAATTCGACTTCAACTGGGCTTGGAAACTAGTGGACATTGCCATGTCTTGTACACATCCAACGGCAATTCAAAGGCCGGATATACATCAAGTATTGGCAGAGTTGGAGTCTTTGGTGAGCAAATCAAGTGGTTCCTTTGAAATGACCTCCTTGGAGCTCCCATCTCACGAGGTCCCTCTCGCAAGGTAGCAGAACTTTTCCATACCAGGAAGGCTCGCTTCTTTTTAGGTTAGAGATTAATTTTTGTTCTTTAATTGCATCACCCATTTCCCTTTTCTTTCCGTCTCGCTGTCTAGCAATGATATCCTTTCGTCCTTCGTCGCTCCTTTCTCCACTTATTATGTCAGTTCATGGCATTCCTAGTACCGCGAAACTAGGAACTCCAAGTTGAGTCTTGGGGGAGGTGGTTGGGAGGTTGGGGCTATCCATGGATGGGGTAATCGGCATGAGCAGGCCCACCCTCATGGCACGTTCTTGGAGTTCAGCCGAGACTTCAGTTTGAGTCGACACCATTGGGTAATTAGCAACTTCTCGACAACTAAACTTTTGCGACCCATTGCATAAGAAAATTAGGGATTGATCCCGACTCAGGATAAGCGTAAAAAAAGTTCTAAACCTATTGCATTTGTGCTAAATTAGTCCTAAACCTTTTAATGGTGCCGATTTAGCCTTAAACATTTTGACCCAGTGTCAATTTAGTCTTTCCAGCTAATTTTGGCTGGATATTGCTGACGTGAATGCCAATTGATTTACGTGGTACCGCCGGCGCTAATGTAGACAATTTTTAATAATATTTTTTTCTTTTTTTTTCTTTTTTTTCCTTTTTATTTTCTTCTACCGTTTGTCGGTGGCCGGCTCAATGAAGAAAGAAAGAAAATAAAAAGAAAGCAAATAAAATAAAATAATAAAAATTTTGGAAATATTTATAAAAAAAATTATCCACGTCACCGCCAGCTATACCACGTAGGATGGTTGGCGCCGATTGGACCGCCACGTCAGCAAAATGTTTAGAAATGTTTAGGACTAAATTGCCGATTGGCAATTCGTTAAAATGTTTAGGACTAAATTGGCAAATCATCAAAAAATTTAGGACTAAATTGGCACAATTGAAAGGTTTATGATTGAATTTGCTAGTTGTCAAAAGGTTTAGGACTGAATTGGCAAAATTGAAATGTTTAGGACTGGATTGGCCGTTATACAATATGTTTAAGGC